TTGTCGCTAGGGCAAAGGCGAAGTTAACATTGGCTCGGCAGGTATTCGACGAGGAACTGCCTCTAGAAGGTAAATACTAAAGCTAACATTCTACGCATTGCGCGCTTGACCAGGTGATAAATAGAATTTCATAGAGGATCGTTTGGACGTCGACGAAATTCGAAAAATCATCACTTTTGGTCTCAGCCAACTGCAAAGGAGTAAAAACGCGCAGGAGGACGAAGATGGCATTTCTTGGACTGCTGCTAAACTGTCGAAATTTCTTGGACGGTCGCGTGACGGGCGTTGGATCCCCTCCTACTCTGCTGAAGTAATGCGCTGTTTTGCTACCAGGTTAATATGAAGTAAATGACTTGGAAGGTGGGAAGTTTGTAGTCGTTGGGATACTGGTCTTCCGTTATATTTTAGCGATGGGAGGAGGGCATTTTATGGCGTCCTTCGTTTCAACAAGTTCATCTGCGGCGCTGATTTATGTTTCTATGCCATCAGTTATAAAGTAATGAGATACTGCATTCATTTGCACATCAATATGGACATGAAAAGCGTCTCTTATTTACTGTGATCCAGAGGATGTAGTACATATAGTCGGTGCAACAGACAGGCTTCCAAGAGAATGTCGAAAATGATAAACTGAGCTCTTAGAAATTTGATGTTGTTCTTTATCATGATCTTCTTTGTGGGCTTATTACAGTGACCTTCGGGTAGCAATTGGCGATCGCTTGGCAGCAAATAATATACCATTAAGTCTGCACAAAATGGCTTCTACTTATTACTGATTATGACTTATGTATTGCTTTTGTTAATATTAATATATTTTTATTTGCTTTATTGTATAGCATAGTCCTGAGAGATCTTCGGAGGAAGATGATTTGTCTTCAAGAAGCATTTACGTGTTTGAAGGGAAGGACTACAAGACGAAGAGCCAGTTAGATGAGGAAGCGCTTGCTTCGATAGTAAATGAAGCAACGACGTCAGCGGTGAACGGCGAAGCTGAGCAACAACCTCTGCGGAAAGCACTATTGGAAAATTACGTATGTCCCGAATTTTACGCGCATGAGTTTCAACCTTCGAGCTTTTAGCCATCCCTTGGTCAAAATTCTTCGCGAACTCAGCTGTCTGCAGAGGAAAAGGAGCAGCGTCGTCAGAAACGCTTAGCAGCACTACAGCAAAACACAGCTAGGCGCAAACAAGAGCTTAACCTGAAGCGCCAGAACTGGTGGAGAAAATCGAGTAAGGTTTCACCTTTATTCCAGTCACAAAATGGCGATTGTTCATTCATTCGTTGCGATAGTCTTCTTCTGCTGCTTGCCGTAGGCTAGTTATTGAGTTTGCTTTCTTTCGTATTCGCCTTGTCTCTTATTTCTTGTGTGCCTCATTTCTCTGCGTCTGCATAGTGTGTGATATTCTTCTTACATGTCCACACCAATACAGTCGGTTTTTGTTTCATCTCTTACTGTATGCTCCATATGTGGAAGCCATTCCTAATGACGTCCCTTTGACATGAAGACTTTGAGTTTTCCATGCAGTTTGACTCCATTGTCAACAGCGTGTGTTCTTCAATGTTGTGCAATTCTCATGTTTTTGAGCGTAGCAGGGCCACTGAGAAAAAATGATTTTTGTACAGGACTGTCTTCGCTCAGAGTCGAGCGTGCTTTGCTTTCTTGATCATTTCAATTTGTTTTATTATTGCAATGCTTCATTTTGTCCGTCCTTCGACCATTCCAAGTTAGTATTTGCTTCTAAAGAAGGCCCGTTTCCATCCGTCCTTTGCCCTTCGACCAGTGGAAGATGTTTGGTCTGAATCAGGTTATACAGTTATAATGTCGTACAGGCGTCTGTCCTTGTATCAAGAACATATTAGATCAGTCATTTACGGACTTAGACACAAATGACCCTCAAGGAAAAGTCCAACGTAAAATACTGCATATGATTTATGTTAACCTTTGCGCAATGTAGTTTTTAATTAGAGATATTATACGTAGCCTCAGACATTATTGAATAAACTCTCCACCTTTTCAATATGAGTGGCTTTGGTTATGGCAGAGTATTCTCCTTCCACTTTTATTTAAATATTTCGGCCTCCACCATAGAAGCCATAATCAGGAGACATGATATTTCATATCACAAAAGCCAATATTTCACAAAACAGTGCAGCAGTATGCAGTTAGATTCAGCTGCTAAAGGCCATTCATATTGAAGAGTTGGAGCATTTATATAACACTGGTGTGTTTTGAAAATGACATGGTGAAGATGCTGACAGAGGAAAGCATTCTTCATCACCGTGGCAGTCACGCGGCACATAATCACTGGGAATATACGAAGGTGAATAACATGAATAAGCAGCGGAATATATAAATTATGATGAGTAAAAACGATATTTAGTTGTTCTGAAATAAATGGTCACATCTAAAATTTAGTGTCATTGTTTACGCAGTATTATTTTAATTATATTTTATTTGTGCATATTCTTTATTTCAGATTACCAGTCGTACAGTTTCCGTCCACAAGGCAATCTTTCATTACCGGACGTCACTGACGATTCCGAAATGTTTGATATCTGTTACCAGATTGGTGACGTCACAAGACCGCTGCCCTCGGCAGAAGAAGACAATCGCGTCGTCATTTTACATTGCGTCGATAACTCAGGTGACACGATCAAGTTTTAAGAATTGAACTTTTCAAGTCGGATTGGAAAATCTTAACTTGACAGATGTCAGAAAATGAATATATATTCAGCTAAACAGACGGATGATAATCCTTACTAAAATTTCTACTGCCCATTACTTATATTTATACACACTTGAGAGCAATCTCCTGTCAACTGACAGCTTGCTATCCACAGTATTTTTTAATGGGCTTTAAATGAAAAGATAAAGAAAAGCACCATTTAAACGTGTATTTCTGTAAAAAAAGTATTTGAACTTTATGCAGAAAAATTATGAACTATTGATAGTAGTAAAATTTCATCTGCGCTGAGGGTGAATTGGAGGCAGATATTTTAACTGTGATGTTGTTGTCTACTCACAATTTTTCAGCGTGGAAGTCCGACTGCACTGAACTGTCCGTTTAGCGTTCTCGCATTTAGTAAAAATAAATAATTTAATTATATTTTTATTATGCGAAAAATAAAACTAGAGATAGCCCGAATGCTCTTGAACAGCTGCTAAAAATGTCAGCTTTCCGATTCTACCCGAAAATATAGTCTTTAAATTA